AGTTCTTCCTTAACTGTGGAAGAAGAAGAAGGAGAAACCTGAACATTTGGTGCATGCAGGCATGCATGCATCCATTTGCCGTATAACTATCTTATGGAAGTTTTTTGCTACTTTTCGTAACACTGAAAAGTTTTTATGAAATTATAAAGGATATTTGGACTGTCAAATAAGCCACAAAGAGTTTCTAAAGATATTAAACGGACTCAATGCTTCTGGGATGGCAGCCATTTTAGGGGCGCGCTCGTCCAACTCAACCCTACATGGGCGTTACTAGAATGCGGATCAGTGCGGATTGCTGCGGATCGTTCCGCACGCTGAACCAAGCACGTGAACGCGCGGAACGTGCACGGGCGTGTGCCTAGAATGCGGATCAACTCCCAAGAATTCAGAATATACACCATAACTTCCCGCGGATCAGTCCTCTTGTTCTTCTAATCCATTCAATCTTTATTTGTTGCAATGTTTAACTCTTTATAAAGTAAAAATAACTATTTTTAACTGTAATAATTTTAAACTTTGAATGTACGAGATTTCAGTGATGATATCAAAAGCCTTCAGTCATTGGTCATAGAATAGATTATACTGCATCTAGATCTAGTTGCAATGAAATGAGTTACAATCTGCATTAAAAACAAACATATAGTTGTAAAATTTAAACAATAAAAGTCGCCTCACAAATAACAATTATTTTCATTGTGTAAAAATGATTATTATGATATTACCAAAAATATAAAATATTCTATTGGCCAAAAATTGTTACCACCTATAATTTTTATTTGAAAGTATTCCTTTTACATAATTACAAATACTGCTCTGATTGCATTAAAATATTTAATGTAGATAAGTGTTTATAATTAGACTGATAGCAAATTTTTACATCAGTGGCTGATATCATTATCTCTTAAAAGTTGCTCAAGGAACTAAGATAATTCAGTTTTGGCAGCAATTATCAATGAACAGCATGAAAAGTAGCTAAAAAAATTCAAGTTGACCCAACTCTAGTTGCAATGCAGAGCATAAGATATTTTTATTTGACTTCAGTACTTTCAGAGTCATGTTTCCTACATATATTAAGCTTAAAATTATTATAATTTCCCTCTAATCCTGTAGATATTTTTAAAAAGCAAGCAATAAAGATAGTAATGTAAAATTAAAAAAAAAACTAGTTTAAGTATTAGTCAAAAAATACATCTATAAATAAGGCAATCTTAAACCAATCATTTGCAAATCCTCGTCCTTTCTTCACTCTTTTTTCCCATCAAGCATAAACCAATGGAACTCTCTCCCGTCCTCTATCAAACTATCTCTCTCTATTTCTAAATTAAAATCATTCATTTCATCTAACCTATATTGATCTATTATTTGTTAATTTATTATTAGCTTTTGCTATGATCATTAAAAAAATTAATTAATATTTTTAGTACTGCAACTAGAATCACTGAATAATATTCATACTAAAAAATGCTAACTCCATCATTTATTGACCAATAGTATTATGTACTCTTGTTAAACTGAGTTGTATCTATTCTGACATTTAATACTGACATAGCTATGATATGAAGCAATTAAGCAAGATACAGTACTCTAGATATGGAGCATGCAGCAATCCACAACTTGAAAGACCTCATTTTTAAAACTATATTTATACATGCATCCCAATGCAAATGAAGATATCTTTGTGAGGAAAAATAATATAGCTAGGTGGTAGCAATTTTTGGCCAATAGAATATTTTTGGTAATATCATAATAATCATTTTTACACAATGAAAATAATTGTTATTTATGAGGCGACTTTTATTGTTTAAATTTTACAACTATATGTTTGTTTTTAATGCAGATTGTAACTCATTTCATTGCAACTAGATCTAGATGCAGTATAATCTATTCTATGACCAATGACTGAAGGCTTTTGATATCATCACTGAAATCTCGTACATTCAAAGTTTAAAATTATTACAGTTAAAAATAGTTATTTTTACTTTATAAAGAGTTAAACATTGCAACAAATAAAGATTGAATGGATTAGAAGAACAAGAGGACTGATCCGCGGGAAGTTATGGTGTATATTCTGAATTCTTGGGAGTTGATCCGCATTCTAGGCACACGCCCGTGCACGTTCCGCGCGTTCACGTGCTTGGTTCAGCGTGCGGAACGATCCGCAGCAATCCGCACTGATCCGCATTCTAGTAACGCCCACC